GAAGCAGAAAGATCACAGCTTCAAGGCTACCCTGGGCTGCTTAGCAAGACCCTGTCTCTAATAAGTAAATATCATGTAAGAACTGTAAAATACTTTGTAAAATTCACACATTATATGGCTGCGGAAGACAAAATTAGTAGATTCATAGGTTCATTATTAGAAGATTTCTCGAGACAGTGTGTAGATTAAATACCTGGGGGTGGGGATGGACAATGTATGAACTAAATAGAACATAGTGAAAAGGTCTCATTTCTCTGTACCTGGAGCCCTAGGAGATGGAAGAGTGGAACAGTAACAAGTATTACTAGAAAAGGAATAGCCAGAAGTTCCTTAAAAAAAGATAGTTTTGGTTAACTCAGTGAACTTGAAGCAGGATAAAGGAAGTTTAGTGTACTTCAGTCAAGTATAGCATTACCAAATTATAAAGGTCAAAGCCAAATAAATAGCCCTAGGGAGTTGGTATATACTTGCCTTTTCCTCACTCATATGGAAGCTGGAAATAAGTGAAAGATCTTTATTATGTTTTTATTTATTTGTGTATATGTATGTGTGAGGACACACATGGAAAGATCAGAGGACAGCCTGTAGGAGTTAGCTCTCTCTACTATGTAGATTCTGGTGCTCCAACTCAAGTCACCAGATTTGGTAGCAAAGCACCCTTACCCATTAAGCCACCCCTGCCCAAAATTGTCTTTAAAGTGCTTAGGAGAAAATTGTTGACTTACCACATTTATGGTACGTCTAAAAATAAATTCAATGGGGCTAGAGAGATGGTTCAGTGATTAAGAGCACTCAGTGCTCTTCAAGAGGACCTAGATTCCATTCCCATCACCCACATGGTGACAGCTGCCCATAACTCTAGTTACAGGGGGGCCAGTGTCCTTTTCTGGATTCTGTGCATGTGGTACACAGACATAGATACAGACAAAACCACCCACACACTTAGAATAAAAATAAATCTTTAGAAAGTAAAATAAAATAAATTCCATGGTAGTAACACAAAGGTCACAGGGTATAAAACAGTAGTAGGTAGATAGTTCTGAGTTTCTGTTAATATGTAGAGATTATAGAAGTACTTATTTAAAGTAAAGCGTAAGCCCCAGAGAAGCATATTGCAATTCCAGTAGAGTGTGGTTCAGTGGTAGACGACTATGTGGAGTATAGAGTGCTCACTTATCATGCACTAGGCCATGAGTCTGATCCCTAGCTCAAAAACAATCCACTAAAATGTAATGATGAACAGTGCTTGCTTAATCAAAATATAAGGAGGACCAACGAATAGATGGGACAAACAGCAAGTAAATGGGATGATAAACCTGGCAATGGCAAATACCTTTAGTTCCAGCACTCAGGAGGCAGAGTCAGATGGATCTTTTAAGTTTGAGGCCAACATGGTCTATACAGTGATTTCTAGGATTGTCAGGGCTACATATAGAAACCAGGTCTCAAAAAAAAAAAAAAAAAAAAAAAGGAAGAAAGATGATAGCTAAACCTATACCCATAATTACATTGTATGTAAGTGCACTAAATATTCCAGTTAAAAGACAAAAACCAGATCTTAAATATATGCATCAGTGCCAGACCTCTAGTACACCCCTATCACTCCTCATATTCCTTTTGAAGCAGTGTCTCTCCCTGGAACTAGTGCTCATTTTTTTTTCTTGGCCAGGCTAGAAACTGACAAACCCCAGAAATCCTCTTTATCTGCCTCACCACCCATCCCTGGCCTTGCAGCTGCCATCACAAGTGTGCATTGGCCACCTAGTTCATTACATGAGTGCTGGAATCCCAGCTATGAACGGTCCTCATGACTTTGTAGTGCTCTTAACCACTGAGCTATCTTTCCAGCCCCTATAGTACTATTTTTAAGAGATACACTTTAAATATATAAGCTGTACAAAATGATAAAAATTCAGAGGGTGGAAAGAGACGTACTATGCAAAATATTAGCCAAAAGAAAACCTGTGCAGCTGTGGACTTCAAGACAAGAAATATTACTAGAGACAAAATATCATTGAATGATAAAAGGGTCAGTTGAACAGGGAAACATAAAACTCCAAACAGGTATAACTAATTACATATCTGTAAATATACATTACATTAATAAACATTTAAATAAGCAGAATCTAAACAATTTCTAGATTTTATTTTGGCAGGAAAGTGCTAGGGGTTGGACCTAGGACCATGTATGCACTAAGCCAGCACTCTACCACTGAGCTACCACTCCAGCCCCCAGATTCCAGGCTTCAAAAAAGGAAAAGATAATAATATATTGTCCATCTTTGATTACTGAAGAGGATTAACATGTAGCACCAACAGTTTCTATTTGCTACTATTGTTTTAGCAAAATAACCTCAACAAATGTAAGCAATAATTAAATACTTCATTGACAGAAAGCAAAGCCATTACAATCGGTTTTAAGTATTAAGTGTTAGAGGTCTATCTTCTTTTTATTAAAAAGCAGTTATGAAAGAATTGACTTCCTGCCATGCTTCAGAGTTATGTCTTACTCAGCGTCTTAGAAACGATTGTCTTTCTGAAGATTGAGTGGAGGCCATTTCTGCCATGCTTTACTTTTAGATGTGTTGGCATAAAAACTTTCATTAGTTCCGATTATCAGAAAATTCTGAAGGATCAAATCTTGAATCAAAGAGTTGTTAGGAATTAGGACTGAGGTATAGTTCAAAGGTAGAGCATGGGTTCAGAGACTGGAGAGACAGCTTAGTGGTTAGAGTGCGTTGCTCTGCTAGAGAACTGGAGCTCAGATCCCAGCTCCCACATCTTACAAGACGCAGCTGCTTGTAACTTCAGCTCCAGGAGTTCCAGTGTCTCCTTCTGTACTCTGCAAGACCCTGTTCTCTCCCTCACTTCTTTACCCTCTTCCTCTCCATTCCCTCTCCCTGTCCTCCCCCCCCCCCCTGTCCCCCCCCCTCTCTCTCACACACACACACACACACACACACACACACACACACAATTAAAAATAGAGCAAATCTTTAAAAACAAACAAATAAAGGCCCTGGGTTCTATCTCCAGCACACACCTCCCCCCACAAAGGAGAAGTAATTGGTACTTAGAGTTGGTTTTGTGGGTTCAGGCTTATTTAGATTAATTAATATTAGTCTGTTAAGAAGTACAAAAGCTCATAGGCGTATATATTCAATAACAAAAGTTCTCCAGTTACAGTAAGCCCTCATCAAATGTTAAATATTGGGTCCTTTCTGCATGTGTGTAACAACTTCTGGCTTTATTTCTGTAGCAGAGAAATATATTGGATTTCACTAAGAGGTGCTATTTTCTTAGATGAAAATATTCTTCAGTTTTTAAGATTTTAAGTATTTTGAGGAATCCCTTATTCCTTAGAAAGTCATAACTAAAAATGGAAATAGTTCTATCATGTTTCATTGTTTGAAAGCAATCATAGTTGCTGGGCAATGGTAGTGCATGCCTTTAATCCCAGCACTTGGAAGGCAGAGGCAGGCAGATCTCTGTGAGTTCGAGGCCAGTCTGGACTACAGAGCAAGTTACAGAACAGGCTCCAAAGCTATACAGAGAAACCCTGCCTTGGGGGAAAAAAAAAAGAGTAATCATGGTCAGTGAACAGTCTTACTGCTGGTGGTCAGTATAAGATGACAGGAAATACGGGATGGCCTGTCTTGGCTGGCAGGGAAGGTGATAATGGGATGTGGGAAAGAGTCAAGGGTTTGCTGGCATGACATGTGTATTGGTTGCTTTACATGTTGCTGGAACAAAATACCTGACTAAAGGAAAGAAGAAAGGGCTTATTTTAACTCACAGTTGAAGATACTATCCCATCATAGTAGTGAATCGTAACTGTAGAAGCGTAAGATACTGATCTCATTGTATCTAGTCAAGAAGTAGAGAGAGATGGAAGCTAGTGTTCAGCTCTGTAGCCGGGAGGTTCCTCAGCTGCTTATAAAATAATTATTCAGAGGCTTAATATTTGTTATCAATTGAATGGCCTGTGGTAAACTTCTTACTAGCTAGCTCTTATAACTTAACTCATTTCTATTAATCTATAAGTTGCCATGTGGCCGCAGCATTATCGGTCTGCTGGCATCTTGCTGCTCCTTCTGCGGAAGCTGGTGTCTCTCCAGACTCTCCTTTCTTGTCTCCGTATATCTGCTTGGATTTCCCACCAGCTGCTAAGCTGTCTTGCCTTAGGCCAATTCAGCTTTATTTATCAACCAGTCAGAGCAACACATATTCACAGCATACAGAAAGACATCCTACAGCACAGCTCTTTCTCCTTTATATTCAGTCCAAGACCCCCCCCCAACTCATGGAATGGTGCTGTCCACAGTTAAATGGGTCTTCCCACCTTATCCTAGCCTAGATAATCCTTCATAAGTATGCCTAGAGGCTATCTTAATCTAGATGATCCTTCACAGCTATGCCCAGACATTTTCTCCTAGGTAATTCTACCATCACAGTGAGTCAATATCTAGAAGAGAAATTTAGGAAGAGTCCACTTGCTACTTGGGACAGTGCACAGTAACTCATTAATCATGGGAGGAAACTTACAAAAGAATAAAAGAAATAAAAGTTTAAGTGGAATGAAAAATTGATCATATTAAAATATAGATTATCAGCCCAGTGTGGTGGTGCATGCCTTTAATCCCAGTAATGGAGGGAGAAGCAGGTGAATGTCTGTGAGTTTGAGGCCAGCCTGATCTATTGAGTGAGCTCCAGGACAGGCTCCAAAGCTACACAGAGAAGCCCTGTCTTGAAAAACCACGTGTGTGTGTGTGTGTGTGTGTGTGTGTGTGTGTGTGTGTGTGTGTACATACACATATATCTATAATCATTTCTCAGCTTTTCTTTAAATAAATTGATGTTTAAATTTTATTCTAGTCTCTGTTGAAAATGTCTTTTCACTAGGTAAATTTGGTATGTCTTAGTTAATGGCTAGGGTATTTACTCTGTTTTGCTCTTCATGGCTAGGACCATTATTTTTAACGTTTGAATGTTAACCTTAGGTATGGTAAACCGTGAAGTTCTGGAACAAGTGGAGCGAGGGTACAGGATGCCTTGCCCTCAGGGCTGTCCAGAATCCCTCCATGAATTGATGAATCTTTGTTGGAAGAAGGACCCTGATGAGAGACCAACATTTGAATATATTCAGTCCTTCTTGGAAGACTACTTCACTGCTACAGAGCCACAGTACCAACCAGGAGAAAATTTATAATCCAAATAGCTGTGTGCACAGATCTGCCAAAACACTTGTGTGAGTTCCTCATGCACAGGAATGAGAAGATACTCTTCACTCTGCATGTTTCTTGTGGTAAACTGGAATTCCAGATATGGTTGCACAAAACCACTTTTTTCCCCCAAGTGTTCAACTCTAAAGTACCAATGATACATCTTACAACTTACTTCAGGGTCCAAAGAAAGCTAAGATATTGTGACTGTGGGTGATAGCATGGTAAGAAAGAGCAACAAGACTACTGGTTAACCTAGTCACTTCCTTTTCTTCCCCAAACTCAGAATTGCTAAAAGAAAACTATTTATTGATATGGACAAAACTTGGGCTGTTATATCACTGTAAAATCTCAAATCAAAGAACTTCATGGGACCAAATAATTCCATTCCAGTTTTTAAAAATCTTGCATTTTTTTCCTCAAAAGTTAGGTTTTTGTTTTGCTTTGTTTTGTTTCTCTATTTAACAGCTGGCATGTAGTCTTAACACAGATCTCCTTTTGTGTGGAACGGGCCAAGTCTTCCAAAAGCAAAAAAATGGATTATAAACAGCATCAAAAACTTGATTAAATGTTAGATCACAGCCATGGAATTTGGAAGCATAATACACTGTGTTCACATTTAGTTCATAGAACTGGAAAGTAGAAAAACAATTTTTTTACTTAAGTCATTTCTTGAATTGTTCAGCTTAGAATAATAAGATAACCAGAAAGTGAGTTAATCTTTTGCAAGGTTGTATTGATTTTTTTAAAGGCAATGTACAATTGAAATTATACTATCCAGTCCAAGGGAAAATCTTTTAATATTTGCATAGCATGAAAAATGAAAACCCAGCATTTAAGCAGTCCATTTTTAAAAAATAGATGGTGTACTGTGAGGTGTTGCTAGTATGTTTTTATGGTGATGGGCTCCACAATAGAAAACATCACTAGATCAGGGACTTGAATGCACTTTGCTTGTATTGAGTATAGAATAGGAGAGAGGAAAATGTATTTAAATAAATATGAGAGAAGAAAATGGGAAAGTTTTACAGGTATTGGGATAGGATGGAATGTTTAATGTTGGTGTTGTGGAGTGACAACATGGCTTTTCTGGCACTCAGAGCTCCTCATTAGCTATTTTTAGACTTTAAAAGTTGTAAAGTATGACTGTAAAACTCATTTTCTTAACGTATACACTAAATAAGTTTTACATCCTTAAAATAGTGAAGATAAGGCTTAACACTAATTTCAGTGGCCCATTTTTATACAGAACCTTTTTAGAACTCCAATTTTCAAATCTCTGAAATTTCACTTACATTTCAGATATACTTGATGATTATCGTATTTTCCTTTCATAATATAATTAATTTGAGGGAGAATACTTACTCTGAGTAACAGTAATTTAAAGAGGAAAATTTTTGCCCACTCAAAGTGCAGAAGTAAAACATTCAAAATGAGAGCTTTTCTAACTCAGAAATTATGAAATATTAATTTGAATTGAGTAGTGTTAATGGTTTAAGGGTCTAGCAAGGGAAAAACTGTCTGCTAAATAAAATAAAAGTCTAATATTTATGTTTTTAAATGCTGTATTTTATAGTTACACTTTAAAATGTTATATCAAGTTGTCTTATTTTCAGCATATAATTTTAAACTACCATCATTTTAATCACAAAATTTAAAGATCTGTGCCATGGTAAATTATGTTCAAATTTAAACCTTTTTAAATGTGACAAGTGAACTTCATGCAAGTTGGCAAAAGTTCTGGTACTAAAAGTTGTGTTTGTTTTCTTTTTACTTAACCTATTCAGTACTGAATCCTCTGCCAAGAGGGTCTCCTGATAAGAATGTCGTCCTTATTTGCCCTGATGTCTATGGTTTGTGACATGAGTGTTTTAAAGGGCTTCATGTGAACTATGGTATTGTAGTTTTTCTAAGGATTCTTTAAAGAGTAATAAAATTACATTTATGTACTAATTCTGATCAGAAAAATAAGGCAGGAAAAGTTGATGGCATTCTTTAGATTTTAAATAAACTGGATGGAGCAGTTCTTATACTAACACTTGTATAGTAAGGATACAACACTAACTTAATGTGTATTCAGTTTAAATTGTTATGTATTTTTGAATTGTCAAGAAAAAGTTTTGTACATTTGAAGATTTTTTTTTTCCAACAGCTTTCATCTTTATTGTCTTAACTTGGAACTTTAACCCTTACCAAAAAAGAAAAGTTGGCAAAAGCAGCCTTCTAGCACACTTTTTTAAAATAAATAATGGTAACCTAAAACTTAATATTTTTATAAAATGTTGAAATATTGTTTTGTGGATAATTAAAATAAAAATCTTTGTTGAATGCATCTATTTATCTTTTCAGTTGCTCTTTATATTTCCTCATTAATTATGTAAATATTGGTTATTCTGAATTTATTCTTCCATTGGGAAAAAAATTTTCAGTTAGAAATTGTAAATCCCGAACAGAGTTAAAATCAGTTCTTTCTTTCTTAAGTTTAGAACACTATTGAACTTATTTCACATGATTAACTTCCTGTGTACAGTAAATGACATTTTCTAAAATTGTATCAGCAAATACAGCCACTGTATCACATAGAGAAACCTGGGTGATTTAAGTGAAGCTATTTGCAGACAATAGGAAAGATATAAAGTAGAAAAGTCACTTTACTTTCCTAAAGTTGCACAAACATCTCTATGTGTTCTACAAATCTCTTTTCACAGATTTAATTAAAATAAAATTTTAAATGTCTAGTCAAAAGCTTTTGTGATTTTCAGTTCTACATTTGTGTTAATTACTTTTTACTACTACTTCATGTGAAATTGTTGCCCCTTTTCATGATTTCCAAAAAAAAAAAATCACAAATTACAATCAACACAATACTTTCTTCAATTCATTGTTTATGTAGTATATTAACAATCTACTAGAATGTTTTTCCAACTGGGCATGGTGTACATTCTTCTAATCCCAACACTTGGAAAGCAAATCTCTGATTTCTACACCAGCCTAATCAACATACAGAGTTCCAATCCTGGTGTGGGATGTCTTTTCTGTACTCTGTGAATATGTATTGCTCCCATTGGTTAATAAATAAAGCTGCTTTGGCCTATGGCAAGGCAGGATAGAGCCAAGTGGGAAATTCAAGCAGAGATACTGGAGAAGAAGGTCAGAGTCTAGGAGAAGCCAGCCAGCTGCCCAAGGAGTAAGATGCCAGCAGACCAGTAATGCCACGGCTATGTGGCAATACGTAGATTAATAGAAATGGGTTAATTTAAATGTAAGAGCTAGCTAGTAATGAGCCTGAGGCATTGTCCAAGCATTTATAAATAATATTAGGCCTCTGAATGGTTATTCGGGAACTAGTGGGAGGGAGAGAAATTTCTGATTACAAATGGTACCCAATGTAGGGCATGTACATCCACATAAAACCTGAGAAAGCTTTAAAAAGATTCTAATGCACAGAAATGGAGCCACAATGGGCTTCCTACTCTTTCATGCCAGCCACAGTGTAGGTGGAAGTTTCTCTGCCACAGGCCTGGTCTCAAATACCCAGCAGCTATTTTTTAGATAATTGACTCCGAGGCTTAATATTACTTATACTCAGCCAGTAGCTCAGGCTTATTACTAGCTAGCTCTTACACTTAAATTAACCCATAATTCTTATCTATGTTTAGCCATGTGGCTTGGTACCTTTTCTTAGTGCAGCATTCTCATCTTGCTTCCTCTGTGTCTGACTGGCAACTCCTTAATCTGCCCTTTCTTTTTCTAGAATTTTACTAGTCTGGTCACCCCTCATATACTTCCTCCTTGGCTACTGGCCAATCCTTGTTTTATTAAACCAATTCAAATGACAAATCTTTACAAGACCATTTTCCCACAGCACCATGGTGCCCTCGAAATAGAGCTGGCTGCCAACCGCCATGAGCCAAGCCACACAACAGGCTTCCATAGTCTCTCACAGGAGCCACTGCCTGCTGGCTTAAGCTATCAGTACAAACTCCAGCAGCGTTCTGCAGGGCAGGTTAAGGTTTTTGCTCATATAGACAAAGGGTCAGAGATAAACAATAGAAACAGATTCAGACAAAAAAGGCCTCTAAATGGGTCACAATATGTTTGAAAAATATACATAGGCTTGGAAGAGAAAAGGTATAGACAGTCATAAAAAAGAAATACATAATTTTAAATTAAAATCCTTAAAGGGGGAATAAAGGAATATAAAAAAAGCGACATAAAAATGAAAATGAGATTCTGGATACTGTATGTTATTGTCTTTGAATTGTTTGTTGAGGAAGGAACAACAGCTGCTAAAAGATGTTTGATTATAAATGTTGCTGGACTAACCCAACTTAAATATTTAAAACATGTCTTGACTTCAGAATTTACTTTGGGAAAGAGGTTTTGCTTTTGTTTCCATTGGAAACTAGAGGCTATGGGTTTGTTCCAGGTTTAGATGGACCAGATTTGATCAAGGGAGACCTGAACCTTGACAGGTGATACCTATCAACAAAGGTTATAACTGGTCTTCCCAGGACATGGCCATTATCTCATATTTTCTCAGGGACCCTAAAGATAGCTCGTCCACAGACAGCAGGAACAGTTTGGAGAAAATGACGTCCACATTCTCAAGAGGTGGGGGATACGGATGGTCTTTGGTTATTTGGTGGGTTATGAATGTTTGTTATATTTAGGGGAATATAGGATAAAAGGGCAACTATTAATCTCATATTTTGCATTGGCATGGATTTTGGTATAGTGATACAAATTTAAAGTTAATTTTGTTACACTATATGTTTCTGGTTTAAAGGATTTTTGTATATTGATACAAATTTGAGGTTATTTTTGGCACAACAGTGTATATATGCTTCTACTCTTGTTTAAAGTATTGTACCTATGCAGTTCATTTAAAAATGTAAAATTCTGGTTTTTGAAAGCTATTATTATAAACTATTTAGGATAATCAAAAAACGTAGGTTAATAGTCATAACAGTCAAATTTGTAGATATGTTAGACATGTTTCTAGATCATACAGAGATATATTTTAGATAGATAAATGGTCTTCAAATACTTCAAAGACCTATAGAATATGGCATTTGAAATGTTTTGTTAACTTAGGGTTTTTCATGACAATGAGACACAGCTGCTCCTGGCAGCACCAATCTACTTCATAAAAGGATGATAGATATTGAAGAACCTCCATAGGAGTTTGCTTTCATTGTGGCAAGGTTAGCCATTTAGGCAAGAAACAGCTTTTGCCTTGACTGCTTGACTATGCTCTCTAAACTGGATGTGCAGGACCCACAGGAAAGTGAATGCTGAACTTTGCCAGAACAAGATGGGACAATCCTTCAGGGTTCCTGCTTCACAGAAGAAACTGTCAGATATTCTTCAGGACACAGAGGAAAGCAACTGATGAAATTTGCCAAAATAATAGGGACAGTCTTTCAAATTTCCTACTTCACTAAGAAGTCTGCCAGATACTCTAGGCTTATAGGCTGAAGATCAATGCCCCAACATTACAGAGGAACTTTGGGTGACTGTCCAGGCAGCCAGATGTCTCTCTCATTCTAGAATTTTGGAAGTTGCTTGTAGTGCACTTCTTGTTTACTAAGGTAATATTATATCCTCCTGGGGTCTTTGATGGAGTTGAAGACTAGATAGTTATAGTTTTCCTTAGTTATGATAAAAAATAAATTAGATAGGAAACTTTAGACTCACAAAGATAGGATAGATGATAGAATATTTTTCTTTTATTTTGCCAAATACAAATAGGTTAAATATTGTAATTGTAATTCTTGCTTAGTAATTATTTTGTTGTATGTAATTTTGCTATGTTAAAGTTAAAACCTTTTTTTGTTTGACAGAAAAGGGGAAATGATGTGGGATGTTTTCCTGTATGCTGTGAATATGTATTACTCCCATTGGTTAATAAGTAAAGCTGCTTTGGCCTTTGGCAAGGCAGCATACAGCCAGGTGGGAAATCCAAGCAGAGATACAGAAAAAGGGTAGAGTCTGGGAAAATCCAGCCAGCTTCCCATGGAGCAAGATGCCAGCAGACCAGTAATGCCAATGCTACATGGTAATACATAGACTAATAGAAATGAGTTAATTTAAATGTAAGAGCTAGCTAATTATAAGTCTGAGGCATCGACCAAGCATTTATAAATAATATTAAGCCTCTGGTTATTTGGGAACTGGCAGGTGGAAGAGAAACTTCCGATTTCACAGTCCAGCCAGGGCTACACAGTAAGACCTTGTCTCAAAAAAACATTTTTTTTCCTAGTTTGATGTAATGTTACATGTGCTTGATTGACATTTAAGTTTTACATTTGTATTTTGCCAAGTATATTCCTTTTTATGCTTAGAAAGCATTTATATGCCCCAATATTAAAAATTCATGTCACCTCTTTTATAGTTTATGCTTTTTATTTTTGTTTTGATTTCATTTAGAAGCTATTGGAATATAAAACATGACTTTATAGTGTGTTATCTCTTATTTTGCTGTAGGTTTCCAACTGTATGAGTAAGTTTCTGTTCTACTAGCCACTCCCAAATACCCACAGAAGCTTATATTAATTATAAATGCTCAGCCGGTAGCTCAGGCTTATTACTAACTCTCTCACACTTAAATTAACCCATTATTCTTATCTATGTTTTGCCACATGGCTTGGTCCCTTTTCTCAGTATGGCATTCTCATCTTGCTTCCTCTGCTTCTACCTGGCAATTCCTAACTCCACACTTCCTCTTCCCAGTATTCTTAGTTTGGTCACCCTACCTATACTTCCTGCCTTGCTAATAGCCTATCAGCATTGTATTAAACCATTTGAGTAGCAAATCTTTACAGTGCACAAGAGGATTATTCCACAGCATTTCCCCTTTTTTTAATTAAAAAGGAAGATTTTAACTTTAACATAATAAGATTACATACAACAAAACAGTTATCAAATAAGAATTATAGTTATAATATCTAGTCTATTTGTGTTTGACAAAATTCAAGAAAACACTCAATTATCTTATCTTGGTGAGTCTAAAGTTTTATATCTAATTTATCTTTTATCATAACCAAGGAAAACTATAATTATAATTATCTAGTACTCAACTTCATCAAAGACTCCAAAAGGATGTAATGTTACATAATGATAGGGACATCAGGCTGCCTGGACAGTCACCCAAATCTTTCTATAATGTTGGGGCATCCATCTTTGGCCTACAGTCTTAGCATATCTGACAGATCTTTTTCAGAAACAGAAAAGTTTGAAAGGCTGTTTATCTTGTCTTGGCAAAGCTTGGCAGTCACTTTTCTTTGTGTCCTATTTGTCAAGACTGTACAGCATACTTACTGTCAGCAG